GGCGGGAGCGCCGCCGCGCTTCCCAAGCGGCGCACTATCCAGTGCGCCACCGGGCCTGGCCCTAACATTTTAAAAAATCTGAGAATAAATATCTCAGGAAGCTTCTTTTTTCTCATAGCAAAATAAAAAGAGAGAACATTTATATAAATTTAAATAGTATTTTATCACCTATTTGTTTGCTTTATTTCTTATGATCCTGAATTCAGCTGAATATGAGTATTTCATCCTTTTTCCTTTCTTTCCTCTGTAGACCTTATCAAGTACCATTTTGACCTGTGATTTATTTTTGTTTTAATCAACTCTGAATCACTGTATCTGGATACTTTCATATTCATCTCATCTCAGTTTCTTTTTTTATAACCAGGACTTTTGGTTTCCAAGCCGGATGTGATCTCCTCATTGGAGCAAGGGAAGGAGCCCTGGATGGTTGTGAGGGAAATGACAAGAAGATGGAGTCCAGGTGAGTAAGCAGTAATCAGGAAGCAGGAAGCTGCTGCTCGAAGTAGGCCAGCTGGTCAGATTGTTGGGTTGGCAAGTTTATTTTAGATAGAATTATTAAGCAAAACCTGATTTCAAAATTTATTACGTGGGCTATGTACACAATGGAATACTACTTAGTCATGAAAAAGAATGAAATTCTGCCATTTGCAGCAACATGGACGAGCTTGGAGAAAATTATGTCAAGTGAAATAAGCCAGGCTCAGAAAGAGAAGTAACACATGTCCTCACTCATCAGTGGGTACTAAGAAAGAAAGAAAGAAAGAAAAAGAAAAGACCACAATAATACGTTGATCTTTCAGAAGGAGAGAACAAATCTGTGGTTACTAGAGGTAGGAGGGAGGGAAGGAGTGGGGGGTGGGGAGAGATTGGATAAGGGGCATAAAGAATAATTGCAATTTGTAATAATGAACATGCTAATAATATTGATTTGATCAACACATATTGTACACAGGTGATGGTAGTCAATGTTGTACCCCCAAAATATGTATAATCAATCATGCTTCAATTAAATAAATAAATAAAAAATAAAAGACCGGCTTTTGTCTCTTATAAAAACAAAAACAAAACAACAACAACAACAACAAAAACTTATTACAAAGCTACAGTAATCAAATAATGTGGTACTGGCATAATGACAGACATATGGACCAATGGACTAGACTAGAGGGCCCCCAAATAAACCCTCACCCAGAATAAAATGGTGAAAGTATGCCAAGACCATTCAATGGGAAAGGACAGTATCTTTAGCAATTGTGATGGAAAAACTGGATATCCGCATCCAAAGACATAAAGTTGGACTGTTATGTTATACCATATACAATAATTAACTCAAAAGGCATCAAAAACCTAAATATGAGAGCTAAAACTATAAAAATTCTGAGAAGAAAATATTGGGAAAGAGCTTCATGACATTGGATTTGGCAGTGACTTAATTGGATATTATACCAAAAGCACAAACAACAAAAGCAAAAATAGAGAAATGGGACTATATCAAACCTAAAAACTTCTGTTCATCTAAGGACATATTCAGCACAGTATTTATTATTTTTAAAAGAGATTCATACAAGTTGCTTTGCTAGGTGATGGGAATACATTTTTAAAGTGTTACAAAGAAATGTTAATCTAGTAAGGGATCAAGAATATATGAATAGATGTTCTAATAGAATACTTACAAAAAAATCAGGATTGATCAGAAATTGAGAAAGTGAAAAGAAAATAATATATTACTACATTGAGGAGGTAAAGATGGGAGAGGAATGATTGGGAATGAAGGGGGCCAGCCAGGAAAGTTTGGGGTCCTGAAGGCCAAGAGCAGATCTACTCTATAGGTCAGAGGTCTTTGATGATGCCCATTACTCATTATGGTGCTTCAGAACTCTCAGAGAATACATTTGCGTTGTTTTTTAAGCCACCCAGTTTGTGGTACTTTGTTATGGCAGCCCTCAGAAACTAATAGAGGGGAATATGGAAAATTGATTCATGCTGTCCTAACTGTTTTAACTTAAAGATGTCAGCCAGATGCCTGGCTAGGCCTTTCCTTTGGCATGGGTGCAGTGATTTTTTAAAAAAGCTTTTTATTTTGAAATAATTGTAGATTCACAGAACATTACAAAGAAGTGTACGGTGAAGTCATGTGTACCCTTTCCTCTAGCCTCCCCCAGTGTTAAAACCATATACAACTATAGAACAATATTGTACCAAAAAATTGACATTGCTGCAATCTATAGAACTTATTCAGATTTTACTAGTTATACGTGCACTCATTTATGTGCATGTGTATTTGTTTAGTTCTATGCACTTTTATCATGTGTAGCCTTGTGTCACCACCACAGTAATCAAAATACTCAACAGTACCATTACCACACCCATCAGTTTTCCCTTTTTCCTAACCCCTGGCAACCACTCTTCTGTTCTCCATCTATATAATTAGATTATTTCATGAATGTTACATGTATGGAATCCTGCAGTGCATGTCCTTTTGAGATTGGCTTTTTTCTTCTATTTCATATACACACACATATGTATATACTAGTCATACACACGTGTATGTATGTATATATGTATGTGTGTTTATGTTCCTTACATTCCTGTACAAGTTTGTACATGAAAATAAGTCTTTATTTGTGTAGGATAAATGCTCAAGAATGTATTTTCTGGGTGGTATGGTAAGTTCATTTTTAGTTTTGAAAGGAACTGTCAAACTTTTCCACAATGGTTGTACGATTTTACATTCCCACCAGCAATGTATGAGTGATCAATTTCTCTGAATCTCAGCCAGCATTTGGGGTTATAACTATTTTTCATTTTAGCCATTTTGATAGGTGGATAATTATATCTCATTGTGGTTTTAATTTGAGTTTCCTTAATTGAAAATGATGTTGAACATCTTTTCATGAGTTTATTTGCGATCTGAATATTCTCTTCAGTAAAATATCTGTTCATGTTTTCTGCTGTAATTTGAATAGTTACTGTAGAGTTTTCAAAGTTCTTTCTGTATTTTATTTTATTTTTTATTTCTTGATTGGTTTATTTTAAAAGATGACCAATAAGGGGATCTTAACCCTTGACTTGGTGTTGTCAGCACCACGCTCTCCCAAGTGAGCTAACCGGCCATCCCTATATAGGGTCCGAACCCATGGCCTCGGTGTTATCAGCACCACACTCTCCCAAGTGAGCCACAGGCCAGCCCTCTCTGTGTATTTTAGATAGAAGGCCTTTGTTGGATATGTGACTTGCAAATATTTTCTCGCAGTCTGTGATTTTTCTTTTCATCCTTTTAGCAGGGTCTTCTGCAGAGCAAAAGTTTTAAATTTTGATGAGGTCTAATTCATCAATTTTTTTTTTCTCTTATGAATTGTGTTTTTGCTGTGTGTGTGTGTTTTTGGTATGAAATCTAAGAACTCTGCCTAGTCCTAGTTCATGAAGATTTTCTCCGATGTTATTTTCTAGATATTTTATAGTTTTACATTTTTCATTTAAGTCAGTCGTCCATTTTGAGTTCATTTTTATAGAAGATGTGAGATTTCGGTCAAGGTTCTTTTTTTTTTTTTTTGCCTGTGGATGTCCAGTTGCTCCAGTATCATTTACTTAAAAAGCTATCCCTCCTCCATTGAACTGCTTTTTTTTTAGCAACCAAAAATTAGTTGGGCATATTTGTGTGGCTCTGTTTCTGGATTCTTTGTTCTGTTTCATTGATCTTTGTGACTATCCCTCTGCTATTACCATACTTTCTTGATTACTACAGGTATATAGTAAGCCTTAGCAGTAGAAAGTGTGATTCCTCCCACTGTGTTATTTTTCATAATCGTTTTGGCTATACTTAGGACCTTTTTCTTTGCATATAAATGTTAGAATAAGCTTGTCTATGTCCACAAAAAAAACTTGCTGAGATTTTACATTAAGCCTATAATTGAAATAAGAGAGGGCATCTTTACTCTGTTCAATCTTCCAGTTCACAAACACAGCATATTTACGTATTTTAAGTTTTGATTTCTTTTATTAGCATTTTATAATTTTTTATTGAAACAACTGATTATACATGTTCGTGGCATACAAAGTTTATGATCAATGCTGATGTACAATATGTGATAGTCAAATCAGGATAGAGCTTATTCATCATTACAGTATGTGATCATTCTTTGTGTCCATTAACAAATTTCTTCAGACCCCTCCCCATTTCTAGTAACCCCAGTTCTGTTCTCTCCTTCTGAAAGTTCGATGTATTATTGTGATTGTTGTTTGTTTCTTTCTATTTCTTTTCTTTGCTTTCTTTCTATTTATTTATTTATTAGCTCCCACTTATGAGTGAGAACATGTAGTATTTCTCTTTCTGTGCCTGGCTTGTTTAACTTAACATAATTTTCTCCATGTTGGATAACATAAGCTTGTCCATGTTGCTGCAAATGGCAGAATCTCATTCTTTTTTATGGCTGAGTGGTATTCCATTGTGTATATATACCACATTTTCCTTATCCAGTTATCCATCGATGGACATTTAGGTTGATTCCATAACTTGACTATTATAAATAGAGCTGTGATAAACATGGGAGTGCAGGAGGTATCTCTTTGACATGGTGATTTCCATTTCTTTGGGCATATAACTGATAGTGAGATTGCTGGATCTTATGGTAGTTCTATCTGTAGTTGTTGAGGAATCTCCATACTGTTCTCTAGAATGGTTGTACTAGTTTACAATCCCACCAACAGTGCAGAAGTGTTTCCTCTTTCTTTGCATCCCTGCCAGCATTTGCTATTGTCTGTCTTTTTGATAATAGCCAGTCTAACTGGGGTGAGATGATATCTCAAAGTGGCTTTGATTTGCATCTTGCTGATGCTTAGTGATGTTGAGCATTTTTTCATATACCTGTTGGCCATTGTATATCTTCCTTTGAGAAATGCCTGTTCAGCTCCTTTGCCCATTTTTTAATATGATGATGATGATGATGATGATGATTTACTGTTAAGTTGTTTGAATTCCTTGTATATTCTGGATTGTAATCCCTTGTTGGATTTATACTTTGCAGATATTTTCTCCCATTCTGAAGGTTATCTTTTTGCTCTGCTAGTTGTTTCTCTTGCTGTGCAGAAGCTTTTTAGTTTGATATAATCCCATTTGTTTAAAATTTCTTTTGTTCTCTGTGCTTTTGGGGGTCTTTTTCATAAAGTCTTTGCCTAGCCCTACATCCTGAACTGTTTTCCCTATATTTCCATAGTTTTATAGTTTTATAGTTTCAGGTCTTACATTAAAGTCTTTAATCCATTTTGAGTTGATTTTGGTATATGGTGAGAGGTACAGGTCTAGTTTCATTCTTCTGCATATGAATATCCAGCACCATTTGTTGAAGAGGTTGTTCTTTCCCCAATGTATGTTCTTGGTGTCTTTGTTGAGATTAGTTGGCTATAAGTACGTGGTTTGATTTCTGGGTTCTCCATTCTGTTTCACAGGTCTGTGTGTCTATT